ATCCCGAATTCCCGAAGTTTTAGTCCCAAATAGTAAAATTTCGATCGGGACGGGACGGGATCCCGAATCCCGATCCCAATATGCCCAGCCCTATTTAGGCTTACCTCAGGGGGGTTTTGGTAATTTGCCCTATTTTTTAACATATTTAACAGAAGGATATAATAGACATTTCACATTTTCGGTTAAAAAAATTCGGTCAACCGTTAGTCAAGGGGGGTTTTCGTAATTACGAGAACGTGGGGGGGATTTTCGTTATTTAGGCTTACCTCAGGGGGGTTTTGGTAATTTGCCCTTATTATTTTGAATTCTGGAAATTACAATTTGGTCCTATAAATTTAGGTTATTCATAATTTAACCAACAATGTTATTTTTTATTTTATAAAGGGGTATTTATGATGTTTCACCCTAAAAATACTATTAAAAATCGCACAATCCGCGAGTGAGTGACACGATTTGCCTCTAGGGGTCTCGATGCTCTGACTTCGATAACACAAGGGGGTATTTGAGAGTTTTTTTTTCACAGGGGGTTATTTGACAATTAGAGATAACACATGGGTGGTATTTGCAATTAACTCTTTTGCATGAGTAGTAATTAAGTCATCTAATTATTTTTGTTAATCTCATTGACGTAAATAACAATTTAAATACCGTACGTAAGTGCAGAATTTCATTCAAGTTAAACGGGAACGCGGACACCGGCAAAATGAGGATCGGACACCGGGGAAAAACCCCATTTTTCAAAAAGTTGAATACAGGAACATGGGGAAACGTATAAATATTAAAACTATAGGGGTACATCCATAATTTCTAAAAAATATATATAATAACGTTTAACTTATATACTTATTGGTAATTCATAATTACAAGTTCCAATCCGAATTATCAGTCCACAAATTACATTCGGGGCATATAAATTTATTTTAGTATGGAATGAGCATCTACAAAAAAATATTAAAATTATAAACCACTAAGAAGCGAAAACGAGACATAAGATTTAAGTTTTTTTAGGCGTAGGCAGTTTCGAGTCTTTATTGGATTTCTTTTGGGTGGAACTCCGTCTCCATTTTTTTTATTATTACCAGAAAATTCCACGAAACTTTTAAATATTTACGAAAACGGCCCTAAAACTTTCCGATAGGTGTCACGGCGTTTCGAATTCCGAAACATGGAAACGCGTGTTCATAGAAGTTTCCGTGCATCATATATAGCTTTGAAACTGTTCCTAACTACATTCAAACATAATTTATAACCTCTGGTTTTTATTTTGTTGATGATTAAACAAAACCAGAAGATAATTAATTAATTACCAGGGAATTAAAGATCTACGCTGGCATAATTTCCAGCTAACGTTTGATTGCTTCAAAGTATACAGACATCGTTTGCATTTCTTATAAACAAATAATAATGTCAATTTGCATGTTATTTTAATATAATGTCTTAAAAATTCAGATTAGTTAGCTGGGAAAACAAATTAACAAATAAATAAAATAGAAAGGAGTTGACATTTTAGGGAATATTCCAATATGCCGGATATTATCCTTAGCTGACCTTTTATATATAGTTGCCATAATTCAGTATGCTCTTATCCCACCACAAGCTCATCTCCGACATCGTCGTCCGATTCCCGAACCTACTCTGCAGGTACGAGAGTTTCTCAATCCCGAATATTCATTTAAGATTTACGAAAATGCACTGTTAGAATCTAGTAAATTTGTGTCTCGTTTATTTTCTGTTTTTACAAACTTTTTTACGACACTTTACGCAACAGTAACAAAAAACGACTGAATCTGAAATAAATAATTAATAATTGCACGAAATAAATTCTAACATGCACGTCTCTTTGTTTATTTTTAAATGTCGTTTTAACATGACAAAAAAAAATGTATTTTATATTATATATTGTCGTTTTAGCATTAATTATAGATTATATAAGATAATATAATGATATTATTAGAGTATATTATATTATAATAACTCTTGTAATATTAGGATTCTAGTATGATTGAGTTACCTAGATTAGTTAGGATTGAGTTACCTAGTCAAACTCTATTACCTTGCAATATTTCTCTATATATATTCATGTAAATCAACCCATAACATAATGGGGGTTTCTATTCTAAAAAAAAAAAAAAAAAAAAAAAAAAATTTTTTTTTTATCGATATTTTAATAGATATATATTGACAAAAATTGATTGAACCGTATTTGATGACATTGCCCTTGGTATATTTTAATATATGATTGATTATATGACATCTTATGTTTTGAATTCATGATTATTTAATTTTTATATTGGATAATATCTTTCTTATGATTGTGTAATAATAAAGGTTGGAATAATTTTGTAACTTTCAAGAGCTTTAAAATTAAAATAAAAAATAAAAAATAAAAAATAAAATAAAATATTAGTATCTTAGTAATTGTTATGACATGTATGTAGCCACAGTAATTTGTTTTTACCTTTCTTATATATAATTCATGATTAACTTTAGGGATTAATTACGGAAACTCTTATGAATGATGATTAACACTATTTCTTTTTAAATGCATAAAAATCATCAGCCAACAATGGCGCGGGATCAATTGGAAGTGCTCAACGCACTTGATGTAGCGAAAACTCAACTCTACCATTTCACCACAATCGTCATCGCGGGGATGGGCTTCTTTACGGACGCTTACGATCTGTTTAGTATCTCATTGGTCGCTAAGCTATTAGGCCGTCTTTACTACACCAAGCCCGGTGCACCAAAGCCTGGCGTTTTACCTCCGAGCGTTTCCTCCTCGGTCACCGGTGTGGCACTCGTCGGAACCCTAATCGGGCAGCTCTTCTTCGGGTGGCTCGGCGACAAAATGGGCCGCAAAAAAGTCTACGGACTAACGCTCATTATTATGATTATATGCGCAGTTGCCTCCGGCTTTTCCTTCGGCCACACCCCAAAGGGTGTGATGGCGAGTCTCTGCTTCTTCCGATTCTGGCTGGGCTTCGGCATCGGTGGCGACTACCCTCTCTCCGCCACCATCATGGCTGAGTATGCCAATAAGAAGACTCGTGGTGCGTTTATCGCGGCGGTTTTCGCCATGCAAGGTATGGGGATCTTGTTCAGTGGGATTATTTCTCTGGTCGTATCGACAGCGTTTGACCGTCAGTACCCCACCCCGACCTACGAGCAAAATCCGGCTCTCTCCACACCGCCGGAAGCCGACTACGTGTGGCGCATTGTCTTGATGTTTGGCGCTTTACCCGCCGCCTTGACTTTCTACTGGCGCATGAAGATGCCTGAAACCGCCCGTTACACTGCTCTCATTGCGAAGAATGCTAAACAGGCAGCGGCAGACATGGGCAGAGTTCTGAACGTGGACTTGGAAGCCGAAGAAGAGAAGGTGGAGAAGATATCAAAAGGCAAAAGTAACAACTTCGGCTTATTCTCAAGGGAATTCCTCCGCCGCCACGGCCTCCATTTATTCGGAACCACCTCCACTTGGTTTCTTCTCGACATCGCTTTCTACAGCCAAAATCTCTTCCAGAAAGATGTGCTCTCCGCCATCGGATGGATCCCTCCGGCCAAAACCATGAACGGCATCCACGAGGTCTTCAGAATTGCCAAGGCCCAAACACTTATCGCACTCTGCAGTACCGTGCCTGGTTACTGGTTCACGGTGGCGTTTATTGACATCATGGGAAGATTCGCCATCCAACTAATGGGATTCTTCTTCATGACGGTTTTCATGTTTGCTGTGGCCATTCCTTACGAACACTGGAAGACTCATCACATCGGATTTGTGATAATGTACGCCCTTACATTTTTCTTCGCCAATTTTGGGCCCAACGCCACCACATTCGTTGTGCCCGCTGAAATATTCCCAGCCCGATTAAGGTCCACGTGCCACGGAATATCAGCTGCTGCTGGAAAAGCGGGCGCCATTATTGGAGCTTACGGGTTTCTTTATGCCGCACAAAACCAAGACAAAACAAAGACTGACGCCGGTTATCCACCGGGCATTGGTATTAAGAATGCTCTAATTATTCTTGGATGCATCAATGCACTTGGAATGATTTGCACATTTGCTGTTCCCGAGTCCAATGGAAAATCACTGGAAGAGGCATCCCAAGAAACTTTTGGTGACGATGACGACGAACCAGAAGGAGTTTGAAGTGTGAGAAGCTTAATTAAAGCTTGTGTTTTTATTTTTTTTTATTTTTTTGTCTCTCAATATATTATTTATTTTTGTTTGTCAATAATTATATGTTTGACATGTATTTGCTTTGGAATACTCTAAAAATCCAAAGCCTTGTGTGATTTGCTTTGATTCACTTTTATAAACTTTTTTTTCTTTAGGACAATTTGAAATCTTATTATGTCTCATTTTTTGTGTTTTATTTTTGAGACATATTTGCTCTTAAGTGCTTATATCCTTTTCATTTTTCACTTCTTGTACACTTCACTTCAAAAGGTATCGGAACTCTATTAAAATCTTCGTTTCGAAATGTATCATTCAAACAACAACTATAAAGTGTAAATTTGTACCCGGTTGTATTGTAAAGATCAAGTGCCTTCTCTTTTCAGTACTATCTCTTCTCAAGAGACTTAGGTTTTCACCGTGGTTATTTGATTAGATCTCGTACTTCCGATACAGAACTCGAATTGTAATTCTCTTATAGCTGCCATTTATTTTCGGAGCTCAATTGTTACGAATTTTTAATTCGGACAATCTATTTGAAGTCGAATTTGCAAATCAATTATTTATGTGTGAGTTTCCATGTTACGCTATTTTGCATTTTTATTAGGGTTAAATACAATTTGCACCTGATCTGTACTATGATCACTGTCGCATTTACCCGCTGAACTATGAAACGGGACGAAATGGCCCCTTATGTTACCGGTCAACGATCATAATTTTGACACCGTTAGCTTGTGCAGTGTAATTACCTTTTTACCCTCGCTTTAATACAGAAAAAAGACACTTTCAAGCCATTTTTTCGAGACATAATCCGATAGTGAGAAATTATATCCCATTTTTCGGCTCCTTCGACCATACACCCAGTGATAAACACTTGGTGGGTTTTCTGCTGACACGTGTATTTTTTTATATTTTTCTAAACCCCCTACAGGTTAACCTAAGTGGGGGAATATATAATAAATAATTAAATATATCATGTGACAGCAGAAGACCTACTGGTTATAGGGTCGAAAGAACACCATTTTTCCTTTCTTCTCATTTTCAAGAAAGTTTAGATATAATAAAATATTATCGAATTTTTCATTGAAAAGTATTATTTTTGAGGAAAAAGAAAAAGTATATTATGAGGATGACATAAATGATCTTAAATTTTTAGATCAAGAATTAAAAAAAAAATCATGTATTTTATATATTAATGAAATTTGTAATAAAGTACTTTTATTTTTCTTTAATTATTTTGCTATTTTTATGAATTAATAGAACTTATTTCATTTACTTGGTTTTTTTTTTCTTATATTCTAATGGAAAGGTAAAATTGTCACAAAAGTATCAAAAAATTTGTTCAAAGTGCCACATCATCCATGTGTGACGGAAATACTAACAAATGCTAACAACCGGGCCATTTTGAATCGGAGTTTGAAGAAGGAGAGGGGGAAGGAGCCCTTGATCCGCAACAGATAGAGGTCGTATTTCATAGTTCGGGGGTAAATACGACAGTGGTCATTGTACATAGGTGCAAACTGTATTTAATCCTTTTTATTATTTGTGAATTTAAGCCTCTTGACATAATATGCAATCTTGAAGGTGAGGTTGTTACAGTTAAGATCCATGAATTAATATGCCTATTGTGATCAGAGCAACTCCATTGAAGGAATCAAATGAAAAATTAATTAAATAGTAAAAGTTCTACTTTGATATTCAAAAACTCAACTTTTCATCTTCAATGGAAGAATTAAATTGATAGTTATCATATTCAACTTCCGGTCCTGTGAAAAGAGTTATAAAAAAAAAGAGGTTTTAAAAAAAAAAAGAAAAGAGGTATCAAAAAATTAATATAGCGAAATATTAGATTATCGAACTAAAGCAACTGCAATGGGTGGCATTAAAATGGATTATCAAACATTCAATTGATGCTTGAAATAATACTTTAATAATTCCAAATTTTTTTTGTGTTCCAACCCATAAGTACAAAATAAATTATGATGTAGATAAAATTGAATTAAAAACAAATTAATAGATATATTTATTCTCTATTATATAGGAATTTGTTGAGACTTTAATTTTTGTCCCTGAAATTGTGGTTGCTAAAATTAAGGAATATTTGATTATTTTCTTTTTGATGTGCATATTTGCAACTCCATGAGGTGAAGTATCCAAAAAAAAAACTACCAATTTAATGCCTCCATTGGAGTGGTATTTTTGTGTTTTGAAGTATGAAAATGGTAGTTTTATTATTTGATACTCCATTTAATTCCTCCATCGGAGTTGCTCTAATAAATTGTTATTCAAGTGAGGTTATTAAATCATCGAGGTTCCACTGCATATTATTATATATAGATGGCAAACATTAATACCCTAATTTTGTTTTGGGCAAAAACCACCCCTATGAAATCTCTAATTGTTGAAAACACCCTAGTGTTAAAATAATTAGCAAATACCCTGTGAAAATTTGTCAAAGTTAAAAGGCCCATGACAGCTTATCGTGCACTACACTAGCCATATATGTGCGTTTTTTGACCTAAAAAGACTAAAATACCTTACAAATTATAAATTTCAAAAATTACAGATTCACCCTAAAAGTTTCAGCACCAAAGTGAAATTTTAAAATTTTCAATTCAGTCCTTCATACTTACAAAAAAAGCCATCTTCTCAGCCCTGATTTTTCCAGCAAAAACCAGTCGGAGAAACCGAAGGATGGCCGAATCCTTGATTGAATCGCGACGGAGAAAATACAGAAAAATTATAAAAACCCCTTCGTTTTCATTTTTTTGATTTGTTGTTGATTATGACGAGGTGATTTTCCCCAATCTCTTTTCCAGTTTCTCTTATTCCATGTCAGCAATTCGTGCACCCAAATGGTAGAGTTATTCTAGTATTGGCAGTTTTCAAGTGGTGATGCGGCGGCGGATATGGTGGTGCGGCGGCGGAATTTGTATAACAGTTTGGGTATTAGCACTTACCACCCCTGTGTAATCTTGAATTGTCAAAAAAACCAATGCGTTAAAAAAATTAGCAAGGACCCCCTGTAAAAATTAGTCAGAGCCAAAAAACCCCTGACAACTTATCGTACGCTACACTCGCCATATGCGACTGGGGTGCTTTTTTGATGTAAAAAGACCTAAATACCCTTTAATTAGAAAGTTTTGAAATTACAGATTCACCTCAAAAGTTTCAGATCCAAAGTGAAGTTTTCAAAATTCTGAATTCAGTCCTTCATGTTTCCAAAAACCGAAAGACCGCCAATTCCTTGCTTGAATTGCGACGGAGAAATGAAACAGAAATTATTAAACCCCTTCCCTTTCATTTTTTTTGATTCTTCCCAATCCCGTTTCCCAATCTCTCTTATTCAATGTTTGAGATTTGTGCACTCAATTGATGGAGATTTCCGAGTACGTACTGGCATCTTAGTGGTGCGGTGAATGCGGTGGTGTGGCAGCGGATGGGATGATGCGGCAGCGGAAGTTGTATAAAAAAAGGTTGGCGGGTTTGGATTATGTGCTGATATTATGAGTACATGGAGTCATCTGCTAAAGCTCGTAATCACAGGGTTAAGTGCTATTTACCCTATTTTTAACATGATGATTTTTTCGTCAGTTAGAAAAAAACACAGAGGGGTCTGTGCTATTAGCTCTTAATACCCCACATAATCAACTTCGACTTAAAAGATAAATGCAATCAATTGTCGAAATTGTTCTTACATAATCAAACGTAACCTGAACGGTTTTGGTTTTGTTCTTGTTGATGCTTAAACCAAACCAGCTGTGTACTAATCACTAATGAAAATCAAGAATCTGGTTTGCTAGTGTAAACCGCAGAATTCGGGAAAAATAAATAAATTTACTGCTATATCTATATCTTTGAGCTTATTTATTTACTACTACTGTGAAATTTGCAACTGTACGATTTTCCCATGTAGTAAAAAAATTAGTAAATACCCTCTTGTGCTTATTTTTAGACAGCACACTCGACACATTTACATTTTTCCCGTTGACCAGTTGTGAAATGTCAAAAATACCCTAGGAGGTTTTTGCAAACAGAAAAGTCCAGCACTCAAACAGGTGATTTTCAAAAGTAAAAGGAGCAAATTGAATTTTTGAAAACTTCAAGAAACTTAAACAGGTTTAGATTGCAATTTGTATAACTTAATTACAGGTAAAAAGAGGACCAGTTGTGAAATGACAAAAATACCCTAGGAGGTTTTTGCAAAAAGAGAAGTCCTGAACTCAAATAGGTGATTTTCAAAAGTAAAAGGAGCAAATTGAAGTTTTGAAAACTTCAAGAAACTTAAAGAGGTTTAAATTGCAAATTTTTAAACTTAACTACAGAAAAAGAAAGGACCAGTTGTGAAATGACAAAAATACCCTAGGAGGTTTTTGCAAAAAAGAAAAGTCCAGCATTCAAACAGGTGATTTTCAAAAGTAAAAGGACCAAATTGAATTTGTAAAAAAATCAAGAAACTTAAAGAAGGTTAATTGCAATTTTCTAAAACTTAATACAGAAAAAAAAAAAAAAAAAGTTTCATCATCATCGTCTCCACATGAAGTCAGGAACAATGGAGCTTTTGGTGCTTCTTCACTCCGGCGGTGACTGGACCCATCTCCGCCGCCATCTTCTTCAATGATCTTTCATTTAAGACATTCAGTAAAATCGCTGCTCTCCACATCCATAAATGCCCTCCAGTTTTGCCGCTGGAAATGGCGGAATCCCACTCGGCGAGAAATAACCCTCGTCGGAAATGGCGGAATCCGTTTGTACTGCCATATCCCTCTTCACTCTCCTCTTCGTAAAGATGTCGATTCTATACGTTCCAATTCCGAATTCGAGAGCAGCGACATCAAATTTAATGAGCTTCCATTGAAAGAAGGGGCTAGATTTCAGGTTCAATTGTGTGTGTTTTGGCCTGTATTATACATGTGAGAGAGAAAGTAGCAAGAAGTTGAAGAAGACGAAGAAGACATAGAGAGAGGAGAGAGGAAGAGGAGAAAGAGGTGAGAGAGATGATGACGCAGGCTAGGGCAATTCTGTCACTTCATAGGCAAAAGGAAGAGAAAATCGCACATCGTGAGTGTGATACACAATCTGTTTTGATTAGGGGTGTGAACGAGCCGAGCTCGCCTGTTTTGGCAGGGTTGAGCTCGAGCTCGATTTCATTTTGTCGAGTTCGAACTCGCCGAGTTTTTTTTTTTTTTTTGGCTCGAGCTCGAGTCCATTTTGTCATGCTAGAGCCCAAACTCATTTTGAATTTTTTTTAATTATCATTTTTTATT